CAATGTGCAAAGGTAAGATCAAAAAAGACATATTTTACAAAAGCAAAGAGGAAATAAACAAAATTATCCAGTGGCCATCCAAAACACCAGTCTGCATTTCAATTTTTCATGTACAGTGTACTATCAGGATATTCAGACAAATTTGTTTAAAGAAGTATACTAAGAAAAAAACCTAAAAGATTAACTAAAAAGTTGCAGTCAGTTCTAAGTCAAAATGACTCAATGATAAAAGAGAAAAAAATACTTTGGGAGGGGGTTAGAAACATATGTACTGAAGTCCCGAAGTCTTTTTGTTGTCTTTTAATATTGAGTCACTTAAAGTTTTTACAGTCTACAAACAGTAGTCTGTTTTCGAATAGGAGTCAACATTTACTATTCAGATAAAAAGAATGAAATTGCAGCAAATGTTGCAATATCATTTTTTTTAAACCCACTTCTTCAAGATGAAAATACAAATCCTACGTTATTGATTAGATCTCTAATTCCTGAAAGCATTAAGACTACAAGTTGCCACCTTTGCAACAATTTAAATATGCTCTAAGTTATTATTCCTTAAAGTAGCGGTGTAGCAACCTAAGATGAAAGACAGTTGGGTTTTGGGTTTTGTTTCAAACAAACGATGAAAGTTAAAAGTATGTTGTTCTGGGTGACTTGCAGTGTATGTTTCTGCTAAGAAACAGCAAAAACATCCATAAGTAATCTTGATTAGGCAGTAATGCTACTCGCTCTGTGCCAGGCAAACTTATCCAGCCAAAGGCTCTCTGAAAAGAAAATGGAGATACAAGATTTCTTTTGGAAGGACAAACTCACACTAGCTACGCACATATGATAAATGTAGGTCATCTACATCAGAACATAAGACACAGATATAAGAATACATGGCCCTGCTCCATTCTTTTCTCCCATTCTCATTCCTCCTGTCTGTGCACTTTCATCCCCTTCATGTGTCAGCCTTAGTGCTTACCAAAGTTTCAATTTCTTACCTCACGACAGCCTAAAACTACCTGCCATTTTGGTCAGGACAGTCATTAGCCCAGCTGAAGACTACGCCAACCTTGCAACACGGGCTGCTGAGTACTAGAAGCAATGTAATAAAAGTGACAGAAGCACACACTAGGAAAGCAAAACCATTTTCAGTACAAATAAGCTGTCAAGTTATACAGTCATTCAGTAATGTTTTCTCTCTCCTCCAATCCAAACTTACGGGGAAACTGAGCTACAAAGCAATACTATACCTCCTATTAGTACAGTACTTGTCTTAAATGCTTCCTTGCTCCTCTTCAAAGAGCCTTCTGGATCTTTGTTTTTTTGCTAAAAGCCACAATACTTCATTCAAAAATGCTTTATGTAAAATACTTGTAGTCTATTTATCCTTGCTAAACAACTGCATGCATTTCTATACTCCTTGGTGTATAAGCAGAAGGAAGTTTGCTAACAACCGGAGAGTTCCCATCAGCTGCTAAATGGTGCTTTATGTCAGTAAATCGATATACAGGATAGTAGCAGTAATCCTTTATAATGATTAAAATTTCAGAAATCAGAGAAAGAGTATTGTTTCGGGAATGCATACACTGCCTAGGCAGACTATGAAAATCTTGCAGGTTAAGAGTTCAACAAAGCATTCCACACCGTATTGTCAAAATTGTCTTTGCTGGTTACAGCAATATAACAGGTAACAGCTTCATATGATTCAATCTGTTAGCAATGTATTCAGGGATGAGAACGGAACAGCAGAAAGCTGCTTTGCACCCTGAGAAGATTTGAGAGCCAGTACTGCTCTGTCACAGTATAATACAACCTGAAACATCTGCTGTCTCATGAGATTTTTAATAGCTTAGGGGAAGGACATTCTGGTTTTGCACCCTTTCCACAGACTTGAGCTTTCTGGCTGTCAACAGAACAACTCTCCACCCTCCCGCTCCTCCAAGTACAACCACTTCTTCAAACATGCTGACAAAAGAGGAACAGGGTAAATTAGTTCCTGGCCAAAACAGAGCAAGGTAAACCTTTTACTCAAACACGTGATGAGAATTAAGCCCTTCTGTGACATCCTCAGCACATCCGATCTACCAGAGTGTAATCAATCCATCCTTTAAGCAGCGAGCGCCACAGTGTGGACAGTATCTGTTAAAACAGGCTAGGTAAATAACGAAGCAGGGAGAGGCTGCGCACGTCCAAGTGTCAAGGCTACTCAAGTTCTTCCAGAAGGAGATGTGTACTAGCACAGCCTGCTTCAGGTTCCCCTTGCTACTGAAACTCTTCTAAGAATGGAATGAACTGGTATTTTAAAATTTCTTTTTCAGAAATGCATTAATTTTATACTGCTAGGATGCTCTTAAGTAAAAGACGAGTAAATACTAACTCCTACATCTAAAGAGTATTTTCAAAATATTTACAAGAAGGTATCACACAAGATGAACTCATTTTTCTTTCTAAAAGCTACCAGCTGCATTTCTGTACTGCATTACTTGAGGGCCTAAAGTATGCTTACAACGAGCATCCCAGGAGACATAGCCTCCTACACAATATGCAATATCTAAGCTTATCAGTGTAAATTAAGCAAGGGAAACAAGCTCTTTTAAATATTTTTATTAAAGAAAAACAAAAGGCTTACACTTGACTTAAAAAAAAAAAGCAGCATTATTTCGTGAATTCAAAGTTATTACAGTGAAATTGCTTTAAGAAACCTTTCAAGACTGAAGAAAAAAATAAAACGCCAGATCCCTCCTCAAACAGCATTCTAGATTACTTGCATGACCACAGCAAAACCCTTAACTTCACATCACTTCTGACACCCAGTATATGACTTGTATGCTTTCCTCCCTGTGTCTTGTTGCATATAACTGGGAGAAGGATTTGGTGAAAATGGCAGTACATTTCAAGTTTAATTTTCAACAGTTCAGTACACATCTGATTGGCATTACAGATCAGAAGTGACTGACATACGCCTTCCTCCTAACTCTTAGCAGTTAAGCATTACAGTTTTAATGTATCCCAGCATGATCTGTTTCTTGAACAGTATCATACGCAGGTCCATATCTCAAAAGATTTCTCAGCTAGTTATCTGGCTACTACCAATTATTAACACAAACAAAAATAACCACAAAAATGAAGACTCATAGCTGAAACAGTTCTTAGCAGTGCAGTAGAATTTAGATTTTTTTTTAAAGTTACATATCATAGAAGGAACAGCAGTGTTTGAATGACCACTTAGGTTTTTTATTAAGTCAAAAGCTGCAGGCTTCCAGCTTGAGCCAAAATTAAATATGTAATTGATCTGTACTTGAAATCTTAAGAAAAGAGACAAATCAAGAACATGTTACTGCCTTAATAGTCCTACATTTTGACTAACAGCACAAAGTTGTGCTAAAGTCCAAAAAAATTTACAGGCTTGTCATTAAGTGATTTTTTTTTAAGCAACTCAAGAGCTCTACACCATATTAAAACACTTTCTAAACACATTTTTAAGCATCTCACTCCTCAAATATACGCTAAAACTACACCTCAAAGATTCTGCAAAAAAAATAAAAAAAGCAAGAAAACTCAAGTCACTAAGTACAACCAAATATAATGACAAAAAATGAAAAAAAGGAGAAAACAAAAGAGGAAAAAAACCCCATAACAGACACCTGCTACTCAGTAGTCTATGAACTTTTTTTTCTCTCATCGCAAAAGGAAAAAAGTTGAGACTCAAAATCAGACATGGAATTTTTCTGAAAAAAATGACTTATCTCCTTAGATACTGTTTATATTGCTTGATAACAAAAAAATCTTTGAAGTCAGGGATCTACTTACTGTACTCTGCACTGCAACATGAAGCCAGCTGTTACCAAGCTACTTAAACAGAAGAAACGAGCTTCTTTCCTACAAGGAAAAAGGATGCAATACATTCTCCCTGGTTATGATTTGTATCATCATCAGGTTTACTCAAACACAGAACTTGTCTATTTAAGCTTACCATGTTTTTTGTTTAAAATTCTTTTAGTGCCATAGCATAGTAATTTCTTATGTGATCAAGCTGCCTTATGAGGACATTATAAACTGTATTATACAGTAATATAGCCTTAGGAAAAAAATAGAAAAAACCCAGCATGAATACGAAGAGGAAGAGCAATGTAAGTTTTCTTTCTGTGGTACTCCCCATGACATCAATGCCAAAGGCTGCTTTATAGCTTATCCTCGGAGATTTTAACCCTGGACATAAATTAGTCATTTTCACAGTCACAGGGTTGTATTAAAAGTGACTTTTATGATTAAACAGGTAACAAAAATGCATTATACTGACCAATCCCTATGAATCTTTGTATTATGCTCCATTAACTCCCTCCTTCAGAGTAGGTAACAGTCTCAAACAAAAGTATCAACACCAACTACCTCAAAGACATATATCAATCTGAATGAAACACTGTAAAACAAATTTACATCATTCAAAAGCCTGTCATTACAGAATTATGGAAAATAGCCAGAGGGTGTTTATATTTACATCTTCCTTTATCAAGTTATACTGTGGGTTCAGAAAACTTAAAGATCATTTGCACTTTAAGTTTGTGTAAGCACTCATACAAAACAATTTAACAGGCAATCATGTTTTAAGAAGTTTGTAATGTAATTTACCAATATTTTTAGCTGCTAAAGCACTAACAAAGACTTAATTTAGCATATAACTCACACATCCTATATCAAGTAAACATTCTTGACTGCCAATAATTATACTGTTAGATGGTGAATAGTCCTCCAATTCCTAACATTTAACTTGAGAAAAAAAAGTTTGTTTGTTTGTTTTTTTTTCCCCAAAATAATGTGCAACAGGTAGAACACATGACTTCTTGGAAAACTCACTCTTTAACTATCAGGCTCTGAAAGACTTTACAAATCTCTTAATTTTTCTTAGTTTTCACCCTTAATTTTATATGAATGAGCATTTAGCTGGGCTACATTAGTAATATTCATCACATACGCTAAAGTCAAGGAACATTATCTTTATCTCACTATTCTGGAAATGAATAATTCAAAACTCTTCAAAAAAACAATGTAGAATTGTACCTGCAAATTTCTTCAGTTGAAATTGCTCTCTGTTGATCTATTAGAGACAATTAAGAGAACACCCATAATTTTTTTTCTGTCAATTTCTGAGAAAATTTGAATACATGCAAGTCAAAATTACCGTAATGCAGACAAAAAGGTCCTCTTTCATGAAGATCATCAATAAATGACTACCTTCAATAAATAAGTCTATCTGGAAATTCTAGAGAATTCTTTTGCTACAAGTTAGTCTTTCTTCTTTTCCATTATGTCCTTCTGTTTAAGCTCTCCATCTGAAAGTTCTGTATATTTTCCATTCTTTTCTTCCTCTTGTTCTTCTTCACTGCCTTCATCCGTGAGCTCCCGATCACTGTTTTCTTTTTTAGCTGCCTCATGTTCATCTACCCCTCCATCTGTATCAGCTGTGCAGATTCCGTAACACATAATGCTGATGACGCCCAGGGGCAATCCAAAGAGAAAGCATCCCAGCAGTGGTGAACTCTTGAACACAGACTGTTGAAAGACAAATTTGAAGTAAAAAACACTTTCAGTGAATATAAAGAATTACCACATTACTTCTCTTATTACTCTGTGTATTTATTTAGAAACATCCAAAATGACAGAGTCAGGTTTTGGGGTCTTTTTTCTCGGTTTTTTTTTTGGCTTGGTTTTGGTTTGGTTTTTTTTTTTTGTTTTGGTTTGGTATGGGTTTTTTTCCCCTCCAGAAAGAAGTCGTCATCCTCATTTTAACAGTTCTTACTGTAAGTTCATAAAAAAAGGCTTAGAAATTCAAATATTAAAATGTTGCATTGGGATAGTTAATGTTAACATGCCAGCTGTATAATCTACTCATTGTTTGAAGCTTGAGAAACAATTGTTTTAACAGTGTTAAAATAACACTCTGAAGCAAGCAGTTTCATCTCTTATTTGTGTCTCATTCTCAAAAATTAGCTTGAATAGTAAGGGAACTGCAGAAACATTCTGTTATTAGACAGCTTCCTATTGGAGAGTAGTTTAACGCCACAGGAGAAAGGACTTTTGGTTTCAGAAGCTGATGGCTAAATGTTGCGCGTTCACAGAAGTTTGGAAGCCACTCATACAGAAACATGTGAGTTTTAAATTCACAGCACAGGTTTTTTTGCTTGTGTAGGACAAGTGAAAAAATGGATTTGTGTACATCTTCCCAATAAAATTCTGTTAGGCAGAATTAACCTATAAGAAAGATGATAAAAATGTTTGCTTTAAAACTACACCAACTGTAGTATTTAATCCCCTTATGCTCTAACTAATTAGACTGAAACTCAGAACGTGAAAGTACTATCATTTTCAGTGAAAGGGTGTCAAAAGGGTCAAGGAAAAGGAATTCTCCCTGTTCTATCCCTTAAAATACATGTTGGACTAATACAGGAAAAGGTGAAAAAAAAAAAAGAAGCTAATGTATGCTGAATATTTAGCACAATGGGAAATATTATTAAAAGCTTTAGTCAAGAAGTTCATTTGGCTTAAACCTGATGTATATATACACACCTATAATATATACACAGTAAATCAACAAACTTATATAAAGATATTTCTAAACCCTCTGAAAATATCTGCATCTTGATTGACAAGGGCCCCATCTAATTTAATGAAAAATAAAAAACTTACGACTACAGTAGACTTGGCATCATAGATTATTCTCTTGATTCGTTGCAGAAGTCCATCACCACCCTGTGCCTGAAATTTCAAATGGAACCAAGTCAAAACTGCTGACACTTTTCAGTTATGATTCCAAAAGTTCATTCTTCAGACCTTGCAATCTTAAGTCCCTTTAGAAGGAAATGAAAAGCAATTATTCTTGCATATCATGATGCCCAAACACTCCAACTTCTCAAGCATGGATAAACATTTCAATAGTTAGATGAAAAATTCTCTCACAATTGTTTTAAACAATCAGTGTAAAATTTAACAGTGGACTGGCACTCTACTCTTACCATAGAGGAACTCTAACAGAAACTATCAACTGTCCTGATGTAACAATTACAGAATTGTAGAGATTTTTCTGAACTTTCCTGCAGCTGATGGGTATCTGTTCAAAGAATATGACAGAAGCAGTTACAAAAATCTGAGAACTAAGTAACAAGAAGATATGAAGGTGTAATAAAGAAAATTTGTGTCAAGCAATGACAGATTATACCTACATTGCCACCTAATTTAGCAGTCTTCAAAATAACTACATGAATCCAAAGGCAATTTATTTGTTGAACAGGACCAGTTTCCACCTGTCTTGAGTCGCTAGAGAAAGAAGTTGGAAGAAAACCTACATTTTGGAAGTCACAAGATCAGCACCTGACCCTGACCAAATCCTCTCAAATTACAAAAAAGTCCACAAAGATGAAACAGACTCACAGAAGGCTACCTATAGGGCCTTACAGAAAATAACAAGAAAGTTAAGGTGAATAATCCAACACTTCCTATGGAAGGGAGGGTGGAAATGTTATATTTGTCAGAAATTTCACTGTCGTTCAGAAAATCTGCATCCTATTACTTGTTTACCAGCATTCTTTGAAGATAGTCATTCCTCAACAGCTGTACAATTTCTTGGGCCTGAACATAGCCAAAGTAGTGACATTTTGTGTCTATGGACACCAATTAGCTTAAATGAAGTCACATCCTGTATTGCCTGTCTTGTATTAGCACTTTCACATACATAGAGAGATGTGAATTTAGACAGACCTTCAATCATTCTAGCCAAAATACTGCAAACAGAAGGTAGAAGGACCTAAGTGACACTATGACAAAACCCACAAGGTATCACAAACGAATTTTCTCAAAGATAAAAAACAGACAGAAACCAATTTCATTTATTGTTTCAACCAGAAAGATATATTTAAATAGAGTCAAACAGATGCTGATAACTTACTTCAAAGCAATTAACAAAGCATTAAAAAAGTAAGAACTGAAGAACAAAGAACCACCCAATAAGTTACAGGAGTATCTCTCACCTTGCAGCTGGAAGCATGGTCAGTAAAGTGGTGAACAGCAAGCAAATCCACCTACATTATGCTGCTACATCAAGTTGTCAAATTAAATAAAACCAAAGTACCCCTTAAGCGATCTACAGCATCACTTGTCATTAACACTCGATGACCTAAAACTGCTGGCATAACGTGGGGTTTAGCTAACACAGTAAGCATTCAATATACAGTGAATTGGGGCTTAAAATAACATAGACTTCTCCCAGGACACAGCCAAATGCTTTGTTAGCATTCCCCCCTTCATGGCAAAGCCTTCCTGCCCTGTAAGAAAAAATGAAAGCTCTGATCCATGATCTCTTTCCTCATCCACACAACACAGCCTTCCATTCAACTTATAGTACACTGAGGGAATAAGGAAACCTGAGTTTGTTTTGCCAACATTAAAAAACTGTCCAAGCCATCAATTCCAGATGGATTTATTAATTTTGTTTTAATAAAATATAGCTCATTTTTCATTTTAGAGCAGAGAGGGATAAGCTTGTGTCTGTTTGTAATATGCAAAGCAAGCATACCACTTGTTTTCGAATCTAAACCTATAATTCATCAAGCTATTGGATTTATTAATTTAGTACCCAAAAGAAAGGGTAGAGTTGAATTATGCACTATGAAGGAAATCTTAAACAAATGCATTTAAAGCAAACCAGGAGATGAATAAAAAGCTCTTCATTTACCAGTGATACCAGTAAAAGGAACATCAAGACGAGTCAGCTAACATTATGCCATAAACAAAAAAACCCCCTTGCTTTCCACAAGAGGTTCTGCAGTCAGAACAGTGAGCAATGGCACACTTCAAGAATTCACAAACATGTATTCACTGACAGCACGCAAGACAGGAAGACAGACAGGAAGATAAAGCACATGGCATAAGTCAGTAACCAAATTTTTTTCCTACTTCAGCATCTAAGGAAATAAACACCAACCAACGTATTCCAAGTCACAACAAAGACTTACTTCAGCTGTACCATCCAAGATATTGTTAATAAATTGAACCATATCTTCTGTGTTCTCAATATGCCTATCTGGCAGAAAATACTGCTGATTGGAGGTATTCAATACAACAATAGTAGGGATTGTCAAGTCACTGGAAACATAAAACAGATTATACAATTAAATAATTACTGTGTAAAACACTGCAATTCAAATAATTCCTACACCATTTAAAAGGGTATCCATTAATCTTCATTTTGCGTGTGTTCCTTACTAGCAGTTCCTTAAAGTCCAGAGGGAAAGGGGAAGAGAATCACCTGAATGGTACGAGCATATTTCTCATTAATATTTTTTTCTTTGCATCTGTGTCAGTGATGCTGTTGAAGCTTATTGCATTTTACATACCCATAGTCACTGCAAATTAGGTACCTCATGACTTGCCAATTAGTAAGAGATCACAGATCATAGCCTTGTACACGAAATGTACTATTAGCACAACACATTAAGTGTTTTAGTGCACAAAGGCAAAAGTATAATCCAAAAATTAAATCGCATACAGCCACAGTCCAACTAAACAGCTGTACCAATCAACCTCTACCTGGCAAGTCAAAAGAATAAGCCACACCAACCAGTTTTTCTACATCCCTTTTAGATATGGCAGATGAACTATAGAATTTTTAAACAATTATTACTCAGCAGTTGACCTTCACATGCATAAGCGTTGTTTAGTATCACAGAATCAGAAAGAAAGACAGGGGGAAAAAAAAAAAAAAAAAAAAAGAGAAAGAGAGGAAAAAGAGGTTAGACATTATCTCTGGAGATAAATCAGTATAATCTACTGTTCAAAGTGGCCCTAAATTCAAAATTAGATCAGGTTTAGAAAAATGTAATACTATGCAAGTATACTGTTCAAAAAGAAAGATTTAAAATACATTAAATAAGGCAAAAGATCTCCTGTACTCTTTGCCAATTTTCTACAATTGACATTCCAGTTGTGTAAGCTAAGATGCATCTTTGCTTTGGGTAAAATAGATAGTATTCTGTTTTCCTCTTTTTTGCATAGTTTTAACTATACTATCTTCAATCAAACAAAAGCATGTTCATCCACAGCTGAAGAGACAGACAAATTATGTCTACTAATGGAGTTACAGCCAAGTTCATAAGTGTATTTCTATCGGGGACATCTACTTCTACCCCATGAATCATACAATATTTTGTCCTCTGTGAAGAAAGAGAATTTGTTCCTTTGTGCATCTAGCACAGTAAAAAAGTATTCTGCTACAGTTTTAACCACTCAGAGGCTTTTTCTATTTCCACTTGCTGCCATCTAGTGGAAAACTGAAGTACTTGCAATACAGTTTAATCATTCAAGTAGCCACACGAGGAGCAGCTACTAACTAACACTGAATATGTTTTGCTGCTTTCCACTTATTCTGGGTATGTATACACTCTGTTTAGAAAATAATTAAAAGCCTGTAAGTACTTTAACAGCAGCTTCCCATGTACTACAAATCATAAAATCAGGCATTTTGCAGATTAAGGTAAACAATCCAGCTGAACAGATCTTGCCACTAGATCACTTCTGCTGTAAGTGGCAATTCTGTCTTCTTCCCCTTCATTTTCTTCCTCCCAGGGACACCATCTCCCTTCCCTGCTTCTTTGACATCAGTTCTGTTACTCAGCAGAATACACGGGAAGACATTTAAGGGTTTTGTTGGATCAGTAAACTAAACCCCCTACTCTCCTAGCCAATAAAGCATACACTTTCCTGCCAGCTAAACAGGCTGAAACAGTTCAGCAGACAGTCAGACATAAGAGCCTGCACAGGAGAAGCAATTAATGAAGTGAGAAAAGTCTCACTTTTGGCAACTATAAAGCACTAGATCAATCACATGACTTAACTTCAATTGAGAGCTGTTTTTAAATTAATTGTCTTCAGCTGTTAATCTACAGACATTCCACAGAAATACAGACCTTGTGCCTCCTGAGTCCCCATGAAGCTCCTAGAACCTTTAGGGGCACAAACACATGCTTTGTTCATACTCTGATCCCCAAGAAAGGGGTTTGGAAAACTTACAGAGCTGGCATATTGACCCCTGTTTTTCCCTTCTTTCACTCAAAAGGCCACAGGAGAACAAGTAGTCAACTGTAAAAGCCAAACAACTTAACTCTCTCAATTATGCATTTTTAGACAAGGATCGTAATAAGGGCAAATGTCAAGCATCTTGTTAAAATGCTTATATATTTCAAAATGCACCATGTACATATCAAGTGCAGACAGCATCTTCCATGCATTTTATGATGCTTCTCTGCAAAAGTGTATTTCCATGCAGGTCTTAAAAATGCATCAAGAATTAAATGTGACTCTCCAGAAATAAAAACCATAAATAATGCATAACCATTATTTACATTTCTTGTTACAAATTGACATAACTTCTAATTTGTCTAGTGCCCTGTAAATTTAATGAAGGAAAAAACCCCACAGTTGAATAGAATAATTAATTTAACAAAGCAGACCTAAACGATAAGCTTTGTCAATCAGCATTATCAGTAAGCCAAACTTCTAACATTAAATTATGTAGCTTAATTTAACAAACAACTAATACTATGTTACATGCTGATTTCTGAGGACAGCGATTTTTTTCTTAACCCATGAAATGCGTGAATTCTTCGTAAGATTGTTTTCAATTAAATAGACTTAGCAACAAATGCAAGAGAAGAAAGCATACTCAAATAAGAATTTACTTACTCCATTAGTAAACTATTAATGTAATCATTTCCATCCATATGGCCAAACTGGAAATCCCTGTAAGCAAAGCAGTGAAAAACAGAACGGTGAAGAAGAAAACAGAATAGTGGGTTTCAGCAAGAGTTCTTCCTTAAGTATTTTTCCTATAACTGAAGATGAGAGCACACATTCAGCAATATAATTCAAAATCTGACAATCTACAAGACAGCTAGCATCCCCAAACACATTCAGTTAATGGAATAGTTTTATTAAATATCAATATATGAATATAAAAGCAGGCACTATAACATATTTCATGTAGAAAAAGATTACTGCTATCTTAGAAAGGTTACTGCAGAAGTTCATTTAATATAACATAGTACCACGTGTGCCTACCTGTGAAAGTGATCACGATAATCTCTAGCAACTTCCTGAATAATAGATTTTAGCCTGGAGGGGAAACAAAAAAGTGACATTGATGATCCAGGATATACTCTGTCAAAATACAAACAATAAACATTGAGAGCTCCCCAGTAAGCAGCAAATAGTACCTCATCAGCAATAAGGATTCCCTATTCCATTAACAAAAACCACCTTGTTCATCTTGCTTGGTTTCTAAGGGCTGAAAGGCTATCTACCACATAGTCTCAACACAAGAAAAACACACACAGTCAGGCTGCTTCACTCCATCTATTGTCTTCTGAAGATGCAACACTGTGACTCTGAAGAAAATCCAAAGAGGTCTGGGAAAATAGCACACACAGTACTTGAACAATATTTTCTTAGGCTACTTATGTATGAAATCAGAAAGGGGCAGGGGAGGGTCTTGTTCCTCTTAGTCTCTTCAGCAAACACCAACCCAACTGAACATGTCCCTTCTTAAAGTAAGTTCCACAGACTACTAATATATAAGCATCACTAAATTAATTTTTAATGCAGTTGAGCTGAGCTGAAATAGTTATTTGTTTAAACTTACTCAGTTCATCTCAAAGTCATCTGAATTCAAGTACTCTCATCTATGTTAAAAGGTGAGATAACAGCTTTAAAAAGCTATGTGATCACTGTTTGCTCCTGTGATCTCATCAACAAATGGCAGAAGAGTGATATAGGAACTCCCATCATCTCATTGAACTCACATGTGCTTCAACAGACCATAAATTAAGTAAATTCAGTAGGCTGAAGTAATAAATTTGAGAACATCCACAAGTTAAAACCACTCATTCAACCTAGTATTTCTTAATATTTAAGAAATTTTCAAAGTTCTCTATGTCATACCAGCACATTTCTCCCATAGGGTCACCAATACCCAATTCTGTACCTGGTATGTTCCACTGAAGAGTTTTTATCATCAATGACTGCAATAGCCACAAGTTTTCCTAAAATAAGGAATAAAATACTTGAAACCATTTTAAAAGAAACATGCATTCTCAGATGGAAAATACTCCAATTCAGAAGATCAGATACTCTCCAGGGTCAGGAATTAGTTTTAAGTATAAACCAACCTTGATGCCAAATAGCCTCTTCTAGCTGACCAAACTGGTTTTCTTAAAGCTACTGAAAATAAATATGTAGCTTAATGCCACACCACTAGCACTGTAGGAAAAGCCTATCTATACAAAGACATTAAAAGGGGAAAAAACACAGATAAAAATTAATTCCCTACTCAAGCTGCATATTTGCATATACTTAAATATGAGGCTATGGAAACATTTATTACATAATGGCAATTACAAGCTGATTCTAAGTGATTGAATCACTATTGTATGGATTCAGTAATTACTATTTTTCACAGTATTGAACATGTGTATTATTATCTTTATGGAAAAACCACGGAAAGTTTAGTGGCAGAGCCCAGAATTCATTACATCAGAAAAACAACTTAGTTTACAGACCGCTGTCAGAGGAGCTTAAAGACCAAACACCAGAATATACTGATCTTTTCAGGATTCACTTTCTGAAGTTTTTCTGATTAAAAGAAAAAAACCCAAAGACTCTAAGGTGAACCAGATCAAAATATGTTTAGAAAGCTGGCTAAAGGTTCCCCAGATCAAGCACATCCTGTTAGGAAAGCCGGTCTGTTAACAGTGTAGTCATCAGCTGGATTAACTGAAGCCTCCAGAGAGCTCAAAAACTGTCTGTTAAGTCTCTCTGGACACCATGATTCACTCAAAACCCTCCCCGCCAAGCCAATCAATTGCTCAGCGCCTACCTATCACCATGCCACAGGAAGCATTCCCCTCAGAAAAAGAAACTCACTCTTGTTCAAGTAATACTGCAGAGTATTGAGGGCAAGAACAGTGATTCATTCCCAGGCTTTCTTGTGAAATAGCAATAGCTTCCACCTGTACGGCTTCTTCTATACCTCAATTCTCACCTTCCCCCATTTGTTTTCATGCCCTAAGACACTACCTAGTGAATACAGTAGGAGACAAATACTTTTTAGATCGGAGAAGATCTAGAAGATAGAAGAGTAGATATATTCCAGGTACTGTGTATTTATACATAAAGCTCTTAAAAATAAATGATGGCTTCTCCACTGTATTAGTACAGTAGTTTGTTTGGTTTTTTTTTTTTTGGTAATTTGAAGAATCGTTAGAAAAAAATGTAACAGGAAAAAATTGCTACATTTAAACAATTTGTAACAGCACTTAAATAACATGTAAATAATCTTTTCAAATATAGGTGTAACCACATCGGTTTCACAAACATATAAGAACCTAGATGTTTCATAACCTCTAAAACCTGAAAGAACTGAATGTTGCATTGAATATAAACTTCTTTCTTTTGGAATGCAATGTAATTATAAGGTATCCTGGCCTGGAAAAATCAACGCTTACAGCACTACTTCTGCTACTTCAGAGTACGTATACCTTAAGAACAGTACAAGTCATTTGCCGATTCCAGAAGACACTTGGCTTCAAAATTTTCATTCGGCTTGCAAAAAATTTCACTAGAGAAGAGCTAAAGCACTCCAGGACAGGTCCACTTTGCTACATGCTCTCCTCCCTTCCTTACCATATCTACTTCAAAGATATCTGAATCCATTAGATGTAAGACATATCTAAACCCATCCATATTTGATACTTCTAAATTCAGTCATAAAATTCCCTGTAGGTATTTCAAGAGTTAATATGCAATTTATGCAAAACCTAAGCTGCTCTTAAATTAAAAGTCCTACTAATTTTTTGTGAATGCTACAGGTTTAGACACACTAATTTTTATGTTGTGAGGAAAGGACTAGTGTAGGCTTTGGATGAAGCCTCTAGTCAAATTTTTCTTAGTGTTAAGTACAAGAGATGCCAAAGAGTTTAGTGGTAGCAGCATCTCACCTGTATCTCCAAGTTCATACAGCGTAAAGCCATCTACATTAAGATAACCTTGAAATCTTTCTCTATTTATCCAGGATGACAAATCACCATCTTCATACTCTAAAGAAAAAAAAAAAAAAAAAAAAAAAAAAAAAAAGAGAAGAGAAGGGGAAAAAAAAAGAATACATTAAAAAATAATTTTTTTTCTTTTTGGTAAGGTAGGCAGATTTATTTATTTCAGTACTGTAGAGGCAAATCCTTGTTTTTTTCCATTTTTTCCTTTTACTGTTGTTAGACAAGGATTCATATTTCTGGACATTTCTCTTCAGTTTTAAAACTTACAAAGCTATTTTCAGTCATTGAACAAAAAGTAAGTGTACTATAGCAAAACATGAAAAGCTGATTTGCAGATTATTTTTTCCCAAATCAAGGGTAAACAATACTATTCTAGAAGAGAACTGTGGCCCAATGCAGAAAGGAACAGTTTCCATCCCTGTTTTTAAATTGGGGGGTCAAGTTTCAAACAAAGTAAAGAGATACAAAAATACAGAAAGCAGTATTCATGAGAGTGCTTAAATGAAAGAGAAAGAAATCAAGAAAAAGTAGATGCATTAACAGCATTGTGAATGTAAATGAACAAATATTTACATATGATTCAGAATCAGTTATAGTGAAGGCTACAGTTTCAGGCACTATATGTTTTAACCTGTACAGAAACAAATTTAACACATACCACCAACACCATTATAATTAGATTTTAATCCCAAGAAAAATGCATATAAACATATATCATGCATATATGCACACACACACAAAAAATGCACATTAAAAATAAATAAATTTGTGTTAAATCCTACTGTATAATCAATTAACTTCAGGTTAACAATTAATTGTCCTAAGATTGTAGCAAACAATTCCAAGCATAAAGCTTGCTATAGATCTTGCATCCCATTCCCCTGCTATGGGGAAGAAAAAAAACAAAACACCAGACAAGGCCAGAGCATTGACATGGATTTTGCTAAACCTTTTTCTTATAGTGAGCTCTTCAAATTCCTGCCCAGTCATAACAGTTGCACATATAACTTTATCCAGTCTCTTATACTGCATCTTCATAACTTGTTTGATTTACAATAATGTTTCTAGTACATTGTAAAAAGTAAAATTTTTACAAAGCAAATTAGAAGCCTGGATTACTATGAGTTTTGTGTTTGTTCTGAAAGCTGTGGAAAAAACAAGCGGGCCACAGAGCAAAAAGCAATTCAGAATTGTTTCTTTTTGACAAGCTTTCCTTCTCCAAGCCCGTTTAAAAAACAAACAAACAAAAAAACCACCAAAACCAAATGCAAATCAAGGAGGCTGTAGAGTGAATTTTTCTCTGGAGGATGACTGGTAAGGCAACAGACTGAAGAGGAAGCCAAGGACAGCCATTCTATAAAATTACAAAGAATATCCTTGATGGCCCATCTGGAGTATTTTTGCTGTGGTACTACCGATCCTCAGAAATTAAAACAGCAGAGTAATCTTCTGAGTGATGTGTTTTCAACTTAAAGTAAAAACCTGCATTTAAAACAAGCTAAACCAAGAGTAGATTTTTTGTAAGTGGTGTACCTATAAGCCAAGCCATGGTACGCAATGTAAGTACATGTGTGTACGTGCATCTAACAGACTATAAAGCATGGGCTTCACTGTATAGTCTGAGTGTAATATAGCACTTCATATATAGATATCCATACCTACGGGTATACAGTTTCTCCATATATACTTCATATATCTTGTCTTAAGGTCATGTCTACTTTTACTTACCATCATAAACAAAGTAAGTTCCATCTTTGAAGACCACAACAGCAGGCAATTCAGGCAATGTCACATACTGAAAGAGGTGGTTTTCAATTAATCCATGGAATATTTAAAGATTTTTAAACAAACAAACGAAATCTTAAAATGGGGAAAAATCTCAAAGTACATTTAAATTTTTCTTTCCACATTTACTAAAATAAATTTACCCACTTCCACATATTAAAATGTAACATGACATAAAGTTATTTTTGAGAGGTAGGTCTCACAAAGTGTAAATGAAGCAGGTTTTTTACTAGTATCTGCAGTAGCCTGAAGAGTATTTTATTGGTTGGACATGAACTTTAGATAGGAGATCATAACTTGAGGGTTTTATCAATCATGCTCTCTGTTCCCAATTTCTGCTGTTGTCAGCATACCTGTCATACCATTACTTTTACTAAACGGACAGTCAATATTGCAACAGTAACACTGATAACATGTCCCACTAAATTTGGGCTATTTACTGTGGTTCAGGCTGATGGGAATATAAAGACACAGCTTCAGCAGGCAGGGCTACAAATAGCCCTAATCTATGCAACAGAACAATGAATCCCTGCATTACCATCCTAAACATGGTATTTAGGATGGCCAGCAACATACCACAAAAAAAACAGAAGGCGTAGAAACCTTTCCCTTGGAACTCAAAGTAATCTTATTCAGCTCATGCTTTCAGTAAACTGCCTCAGAAGAAATACTGCATCTACTCCTTACTGCTTGCTACGGTTCCAAGATAAAATTCTAACAGCATTTGTGGTTAAGAAGGGACTGTATCATGAGCTTAGCTTTGATGATGACGTTGGCTGAATTGTCTAATTTACTGATATGTTTGGGAAACACAAGAACAGTATCACGAGCGCTTTTCCAAATGACATGCCTTCTGTAATCATTCTGCATTATCTTACTTGGAAATAAATGTAAAAGCAGTAGGTTTATAATGTAACAGCTCAGATGAATGAGCAAGAAGAAGGTAATTCTAGATGACGCTTTATTCTCTTATTTGCCCAAAACATACTTTAGCATCTTTAAACAGCAAATCAGTCTATGCACAGCTTATGGCTTGCAAAAGATGCCTGAAGCTTGGAAGGAGATTACCTACGGTGACAAAACAAAGCCTAACAGTGAATAATGCCATGCAAAGCCTCATTACAACTAGCAACCATTGATTTCATAGTATTTTTGCTTATCTCCACAGAATACTGCATACCATTGCTATTTCAGTTTAAATAATATTTGTGGGAAATTACATTTGGTGGGAAAAACAGCTCACTGCTTACATCACTGTGATCACAGAATCTCAAAGAGTTTCAGCCCTTTACACTACAGTACTTTCCTTGCTCAGCTGGAGCTGAAGTGCAAATAGCAATATTAAAATTGAGGTAGCTTTTGATATAAGGCTTTTGGAAATCTAACAATACGTTATTTATAATGAGGCCAGTTCTGCTTATGATGTTGGAAAATGCAGGTGCTTAAGAACAATAAATTATGCTAGTTCTCACCCTGCTAATCCCAAACTAATTTCAAAGTCATGTGTTATGAGGCACAGAGCAGACTTAGATCCTACTTGGAGATAACAATATATAAAAAAGCCTCTGGATTTTGCTTCAACACATAAGCAACAACAGTTAGACTAACAACAGTAGCAGCAATTTTTTCCACTGTTGTGACTAACCGTAAATAATTTCCTTGTTACAGAATCCTCCAAAGGGCCACATGAGAATTCTGCAGCCACTAGATTGGATCAATTGATCCCTGGGCAGACTAATCTTTTGATCAGCTGTACTGCACAAGGCAAAAATAACTTACCTTTTCACTTCTCTGATTATTAAGGTACCAGTGGTACTCCATGCCACAGACCCCTAAACTAGTCATAAGAGTGGTTGGTGAAAGGGCTGTCAGGAGCAACAAGAGCTTTGCATTGGCTAAAAATCAAAGTATCTACCTTCTTGAGTAGGTTGTATGGTCCACAGAGAGTTCTGCATACCTTCTGCTTAATTTTATTAATAAGACTGAACAAATAATATGGCCAATAAAAATCAATGACAGACTGAAACTTGGTTTGTATTCTTTCCCCATATAGACTGAAAAATGTTTCAGTGTAATTAGTTTATCAAAGCCAAATATATTCTAAAAAGCCATCTCTGTGCCATCAAACAGCAAAATTACATATATCAAGAGAACTATACCATTTCTGTGGAAATAGCAGGAACTGAAACAGCTTACCTCAGGCAGCACATCTTCTGAGGCAGAAAAAAAGTACGTATAAACAATTAGTTCTGAAGCAACTTCAATGTATTTTTCCTGCAAAAATACAAACGATGTTTTTTAATTTCTGAAGTTTTAGTATGCCTCAAATGAAAGTTTTGTGACACAACTTATCTTCAAAGAGTAATTAGAAATTATTGTTATGACACAAGATTGTAAAAACACTTCAATAAACATAAAGATGAGAATTTATTACAAGCATGCACTTCAGTCTTCCAGAAGATGTTTTAAAACTACATCTGTGAATAATCAAAAGTAGTAACTTCATTTAATCAAGCTTCAAACCTTTAAAGGAGATTCACCACCAACATACACAAAAAGTACGTGATGTCTCTTTTGCACATGCTCAAACATTTGCTGGCTAGGAAGTGGCCTGATAAGAGGTCTGGGAGGAGGGAAAAAAAAAAAAGACAAAGAAACAAATCTCAGTTTCTGCAAGTTACAAAACCCAAACAAATAAAAATCCCCAGGAACATGACATACAGTTTTTTGTGCTTTTTTTTTAAAAAAAAAAAAAAAAATAAATTCCGTACAGTTTTTTGTGCTTTTTTTTTAAAAAAAAAATAAAAAAAAAAATTCCCCAATACAAGTTCATTTAATTTTTCAATTTATTATTTTGGTTTCAAGCAAAAGGAAAAAAAACTACAAATCCCCCCAAAATAAACTTGTTACATCCTCAAATAGAACACTTAAATTAGAAATTAATATCTTAGTACAAAACACCACTATGGTGTAAACATGCATGCCATTTACTGGTCACAGAATCACAGATTGGGTTGGGTTGGAAAGGACCTTAAAGACTGCCTAGTCCAACCCCCCTGCTGTGGGCAGGGACATCTTTCACCAGATCAGGTTGCTGAAAGACCTGTCCAACCTGGCCTTGATCACTTCCAGGGATGGGGCATCCACAGCTTCTCTGTGCAACCTGTTCCAGTGTCTTACCACCCTTATAGCAAAAAATGTCTTCCTTATGCCCAATCTGAATCTACCCTCTTTCAGTTTAAAACCATTGCCCCTTATTCTGTCAGTACAGGTCCTCATAAAAAGTCTCTCTCCATCTTTCTTATAAGCCCTTTTTATATAGTGAAAGGCCACAATAAGATCTTCCCAGCCACAGTAAGTTCTCAATCATTTGAGAGATAAAATTCAGAATGTAAGCACAGCAGTTAGAAAATGTGGTCTTAGAAATAAATAATATTACAAAACTCTGGTAAATTATTAGACATCACTGGTATTCCTAAACTACAGAATTCTGAACAATAATTAGTATCATGTACCTACACGAATGCTTCTTAATTATATTTAAGAATGAAGGAAAGACATGTGATTCTTCCCCCCACCGAAGATTACTGCCTATAACATTTTGAGGCCACAGGCCCCTGTAGCGAAGGAAGAAAAAGCCAACAGAAATTGTTATGAACAATTCTGTAATAGCAATCTCCATATGTTGCCAATTGCTGCAACTTTTCAGATGCATAAGTATATATTAAACTGGTATTTCTAAGATAACTTTTGAGTATTAAACGCATTCTGCCTTAGTAGTGATGTCTATCTATCAACCAACATTCAGGTCAGAATTCTTGTTTCTGGCTTCCGTGAGTTTCATTTGTTCATAGTTTCCATTACTTTGGAAAAGCCCTTAGTGCTTGCACTGTAAAGAAGGGATTGTGACTAGCCAGTCTCTACTCACCTCCTCCATGCCACTCACCACCAGTCTCACATGCAACCACATATACAGTACATATAGTTTTTATTGTCATGTCAATGTCTTGTTCTTTTTTAACTAGATTTCATTTTTGGCCCACCTCAAAATCCTAGAGAAGTTTTAAGTCATCAGAACCAGTCTCACAGAAACGTGTACTTACCCTGCCACTCTATTAGCAAATTCAATTATATCATCTTTGGTTCTAGGTCCTCTATAGTTGTATGCCAAGTCTCCTTTCAAGCTAATAGGAAAGACAAAAAAAGAACAGAATTGAAATCAACAAAACTATATCTGAAATGTAGAAATCTTCACATGTTTATTACAGTCACCTTTTAGCAAGCAATAAGCAAGGTAATTCTTCAAATAGTCAGATAAAAGAAGTGGTCAGCAAAATATAAAACTCAATAATGCAATACAACACAATCACGGAATAAAACCTTATTTACACACTATCTGATTTACTGGCTTCTAAAAATAATTAACATTTTGAAGATTTTTTTTTTTCTAGTGCACAGCAGTCATTTATTTTGTAAACACAGATCATTTGGAACATTTGCTTATCACCACACAAAAAACCCACCCAAACCAAACCCCAAACATTCAGCATTTTTAAAAGGAGTAATCCCTAAGGGGTATAAGGCAAACATATAAACTTCTTTAATTTTTTTTTATAATTTAAAAGTATTAAATGTCCTGCAAAACCTTCTGAATTTATCTATTAAATTAAGCTTCCATGAAGCATTGGTCAGTGTACTGTACTCTGCTGACAGGGGATGTAGAACACTTACATTGTAAGAATATTCAAGTAAGTTTTACTAATTCTAACAGGCTTTCTTTGAATCCATATAGGTTTAGGAAACTCATAGGAAAAAAGTAAACATAACCCAAATTTGCTATGCCTCTATATGCCAATGAAGTTTTTCATTCTTCAAGATTAATAAGCTAAACATCTCTGCTGCCCTTTTGAGAAAACTAGCTTGACAAGGTTTTACAAGATTTTATTACACATTATGAACAGTATTTGCTTAAACAATAACCTGCCAACAAACCCAGTATGTTCATAGTAAAAAGTACTCAAAATTATTAAGTCTGTATTTAACATGACCTTGTACTGGACTATACACTACGTGTGTTATAAGTAAGTACATATAATATCATTATGTACTGGTATTTTCCTGTAAGTTTTGTCTTTCATTTTTTTTTTTTTTTAATTACATGAAGAAAAAAAATCTACATATACTTCCTTGTCAAACAACTGCTTTCAGACTTCACCCATTACTGTCATTTACATAAGATTTAAGTACACTGGAGAGTGAGGTAATTAAATATAAGAAAACACAATCAGCAACCCACAAAAAGTTAACAGGAATACTCAGGTATGCACTTACATCCCGAATCACTCTAAAGGTGTCAAATTAATTGCTGCATTACATTCCTTTTGATAATAATAATTGAATATATATATATTTGAAATATATATTTATATACACACACTTTTACAAAGTTGCATAGAAAACAGCAGTTAAATGAACTCCAAATTTGCTAACCTGCCTTTAAGAATTCTGTTTCTAAATCAGATCCTTGGTATTACTGAATTTCAAAGCAAAACAGTCCAGTAGAAATCAAAGATAATGTCAAAATGAGATGGAGGAGTATTTTTGTTTGGTTTTGGGGCTTTTTTGTGGTTTGTTTGGGACTTTTAAGCTGAGAGGACTATTTTTTTTTACTGTCATGAAATCAGTGGTAGTACAGGTAACTGTTAGAAATTCAATGAGAAGCATCAACTTACAGCTTAATTGTCGGATAGCCTCGCACTCCAAATTCAGATGCAATACCTGAAAGAAATGTGTTATTGCCAAAGTGAACCAAGACTTTCATGCTCTCCTACCTTAATCTTTAAAACACAGTTTACTATTCAAGCCACATAAATAAATGAAAAACCTACCACTTAGTTCAGTATGAATTATTTTACTCGCTTTCACGAAACTGCTATTATGAAGCTACACCATTAAATTTTGGACCTCTTTCAGAGATACCGCAGGGTCCCAGCATAGGCTCTCAATTCATACATCACAAGTCAAATGGCATGAGACTCCTCTAAACAGATACACTTCAGTTTTCACCAAAAGGTACTACACATTTAACATGCACATACAACTGGCTGAAAATATCACAGGCAAGAATTAAGCATCATAGATGCAGAGCTGTAAATACTAATGCTTAAAAGAAATATAAAAGACAATTAACTGCTCCTGTGCTACAGTAATGGGTAACAACAAAAGCGCAGTATTATACTGTAGTAGTTACAAAAAACTCAGTTTTTAAAACATTCTGCAGAAGTAAATGTCTATACAGTCATCAACTTCACCAAAAACAGGCGCTTTCCAAGCAATGAGTTACTTAGCTGCTACTTACTAAAGTGGCAAAAAGTAAGACATTTGCAGAACTTTTTCCCCTTCCTCACGTTTGTTTAAAACCTTGAACCTTGCTCCCATCAATTAGAGGAGTACAATTTGCAACCGCCCTTCCAGTTGTGAACATAGCAAATGCCACCTTAAACTACACTTTCCAGACAATTCAGTGTTTTCCAAAAGCTAAACTAAGCAGTCTTCAAAAAAGGCTAAATGTGAAACAAATTCTGACAATGCTTGTGCAATTCCTACTGAAAAACAACCCCTGCACTCAAAATGCACTGAGATTCAATACTTTTAACATAAATATTCTGAAGCTACGAACACACGTGAGAGCAGCAGATGTGGGAGGACTTATATGCAGGGCTCTGAGTAGCAGTTTAGAAATTATGACCCTAAGGTATTTTGCCTGGATCAAAACCGTTGCACAGAACAATAAATAACACTAACAGTTCACCTGCCAGCATCTTGGGCAGCGGAGACTGATCCAAGAAATATGCGTGCTAGGATCAATTAAATTCTGATCCTTTTCTCTCATAGCTGTACCACATAAAACTTGAATGCATTAAAAGCTGTATTAGAACATTCAACCACAAGAGCTGTCGACAGGCAATAAACTTCTCTTTGTACAGCTCTTGAGCAGAGTCAGGAGAACTACAAACCAGACATTTTTTATATGTTTTTTAAATATTCCAGCCATGGAGATTACTAAAATCCTCTCAACATCATGGAATTGAATTACGTATTTACATCATCACCTCCACTTGTTGATATGACAAATGCAGTGTAGGCAAACACCAGCAATTATGCTAGCGTTTGCCCAGGTGTGACATATTTTTACTTCGATCACATTCAGTGGACTTCTGAGGCTAACCCCCAGGAAAATTCAACTGATACCACACTGGGTGACTGTTCTGTTGATGTAACTGCTATATCCTCATTCCACACAGCTACCAAAGGCAACACTTATTGGGTGCTTTGTATGTTCAGCTGTGATCTCAACTCTCTGATGGCAAGCTACCCAAAGTTCAGATTTTTCACTCTACTCCACGTTCTTATTAGGAGCACAAACTATGCAGAGCCAACCATTCATGTTCCTTCCTAGTTACACATGTGCCCAGCTACATTTCCGTCTGATATCCTCAAAATTGAATAACTTTGTTTTCAGAGAATCTTTAGATTGGGAAGACATTAAGCAGAGTTGGCTGGGCTTTTCATGTCCAGATGTTGTAAAATTTCCACTTTCAAAATAAAAGCACAAAACTATTTCAAAAGATTTATCGGAGTCTATTCTTCATAAAACTGGTAACAGATCTGAGAAGAAAAACATTTCCAGGGCATAAAAGAACCCTTGCAGTTTTTTGTAATTTTTAAATATGCAAAACTGAATTTTAGAACAAAGTGAGAATTCTAGGTATCAAATACAAAAATTTAGTATCAGGATGACAGATGGCAAATACTTCAGGGTAAGAGTTTATGCAATTTATATGATTTAGAATTTTATATAAATGACTGGAATGTCATAGATCCACCAAATCTATTCCCAATTTTGAAGTTACCTGGTTGCACGATCTTAAAACCTTTAATTCTCCAGACTTATTTTTCTTTAGCAAATAACTACCTTTAAGATGAAACATGAGGTCAAATTTATGTGGTTTTACAGAAAAAGCTATATGCAGTAAATTGGTGCTTGAGATGATCATCTTGATCTCAAAAGACCAAACTCTGCTATATGTAAGCACAGAAAAACTGTAGTATCACTGAAAATAAGTATTCTGCATAATTTCTAATGCAAATTTAGCAATCTGGAATATTCAGGTTTAATGGGTATTAAGTAAAAACACTACATGTATTAACAGAGTTTTATTATGTAAAGATCTCACTTGGGCTTCCCTCTTAAATATCATCCTGGTTCAACATAGATTTGAGTGAAATGACAATCAACAAGCATGCTAAAACTGAGAAAATACTGTTAAGCATGCAACAATCCTCTCGTGCCTACACAAACCACTTCTCTGAATACCTGAAGTTCTGGATTTTCTCTGAAAAGGTCAGTATATATGAAAGGCATGATCAAAAAAGACAGTGTTAAAATATCTGAAATTGGTTCTTCAAGAAGACATTTACAGAAAAACACGGGGAGAAATTGGCTCATCACTGGTGTAATGACTTCAGTGATTTCAGTAGGCTTTTGGTGTAACATCTTAAGAACTGATAACCTGAAAAGTGTAACAGCAAGAACACAAGCACTTGTCCAACAGTAATACAAGGAAGCTAAAATTGGATTCTGTCAGGAGACACACCATATAAAGATGCTTTTATAACAGTACTGTAAGAAGCATGTCAAAAGCGGATCTTTGAAAAGCTTTTACCTTCCATCTGTCAGGAAGAATTTCCTACACAAGCAGAAACAAGTGTGATAAAAACCGCATACTACAGCATGTTGTCACCTTTAGAAAGAAAAAGATCAGGAAATTGTTCTCCAGTGACTGTTTGCATACATTTGCTATGACACAGAATAGAAGAATGACTTAATGAAAAAATTAAGAGTAGTTTCAAAACAGAGGCTGTCATAAAATTACCCCTAACCAAACCATACTTACTAGAAAAGGAAGTTGCATCCATCTTCCCAACTTTTACTGGAGAGCCCATGCTTTTCATTTCTATACCCACTTCATTCCACACAGGCTCCAGTTTCTTGCAGTGTCCACACCAAGGTGCGTAAAACTGAGAACACCACACATTTGATTTTAGAAAAAAAGACAAGTTAATTAACAGAAATAATTAAGAGAAGCTGATCCTATTTTTAACCCTCAAATACATCAGCAAGGCTTATTTTCCAGTCATGGTGTTCTTTAAGTCTTAATCAAACTGCAACTACAAAACTGGAGTGACAAACAGAGCTTTTATGATTTGGTGCTACTTTTAATATGAAAGCACAAGGTCAAAAAGAATACATTCTATCACTATACTATTATATGATTTCTTATTTAAAAATAGACTGCGTGGTAACTTTTTTTAAAAAAACCCTCTCTTTTGGAATATTTTCCTCTTTTTTTTGAAAGTTAAAAGATCATGTAATCAATCTATCCAGGAATATGAATTTATTTGCCAATAGGGGAATATCATTGCACTTTTGGCAAATAACATTAACTCCCTTTGAAAGGAAGGGCAATATATACATATGTATACTTCCCTAAGCCGCCCTCTGGATTTCAGTTCTACAGTGACTACTTTCACATAAGCACACTGTAAAATCGATCCTGTTTTCTCAGGGCCAAGCAGAGCTGAGAGACTTCATTTCACCTTTCTGCCTATGTCTTGCTGCAACACCTCAGTGAAATTAACAGGGAAGATATTAATGTTTTGATATAACAAGATCAGGTCACAACTTGACAAAATTGGATTCTGTTTTCCTATACCTTATTGATCAATTCTGAATCAGCATATACAGTTTTCCCCACTCAAAAAATTACAAATCTGAGTTATACAATTTGGGAATTACAGTTCCTATTTGCATGAGCTAAAAAGAATTTTATCTCATTCTCAAAGAAGCTTAATCTTCTTAATAATTCCTTGCCTCTGAAATAAGGAGCACTGAATCTTTCCAAATACGTTAGAAAAGTAAAATACATTTGATGTAGTACTAAATGTCTAGAACACAAATTAGCTGGTATAACTAGAGAATGGAACTGTAAAAATTCTGAACAGAGGTTATCACCTCCTGATTTTAAGTGTTAGGTAATCTGCTTTCCTCTTTTAAGGACTGTAAAATTTTGGAAGAAGCCTGTCTGCATCCAGTACTCAGTCTAATTCCTGGTTCATCCTGAACAATACAGACAGATTGCTTATCCATCCTGTCTGAAGAATTCCTGTCATGCAATTTTTCTGCACCATGTACAAACAATTTTGCAAATGACGAAGCAGCCTTACTACAGAGTAGTAGCACTGTACATTATATGTTTTAATTTCCACTAGCAGGTCTTCCCATTTTTCTCATATACTCACATCTACAAGCCAAATATCATCTTTACGGTTTTCTTTAAACCTAGGAGGGGAAAAAAATGAAATCAATATATGATATATCTGAAAATATATGTGAAGCGTGTGTGTCAAACAGGCAAAGTCTACAATTAAATTGGTATAAAATTATAGATACAAGAATTCTATTTTGTTTCTTTCTTTGGGGGTGGTGGGGAGGAGCAAATAGTTATTTTTCAGTATTAAGATTGCCTCTGCACAAGATACTACACACACAATACTACCAGTTAGGTTTCTACAATTATTTGCCAAGACAAAAAAAAAAAAACACAACAAAAAAACCAAACACCACAACAAACAAAAAAACCAAACAAAACCCAGAAAAACAGTAAGAAATCAGAAAACACATCAAAACACACAAAAGATATTTGATTACGATATGTAATCTAAGGGGAAGAAGTATTTTGCAGCTGTTCTAGTTCATTAAATATTGTTGTTGACTGTTTAGAAAAGTTGCATTTTTATATATCAACTAATAAAGACTCTTAAAGCATTGTTTTACACTGTTAATCTTAGCTTTACTGAATGTAGACTAACTAAATTATCTTTAATGTTAACATGCAAGGCAATTTTAGTTCAACCTCTTTCAACATTCTACTATAGGTGTGTCAGTATATGTTTTTATCAAAGGTGCACACAAGAAACCAACTTACTGGAATAATAATGTCCAAGTAATCGATAAAAAAACCCAGAGATACACAGGTACTACTGAATACTCTTAATGCTGGACAAATGACATCTTAATTAACTGACTAGCTTAAACAACTGTACATCTGTCACTAAATGCTAAAACATCTAAACTGAAAATTGAGCATGATACATCAAAGTTCCTTGGTATCTCCTGAAATGTTGCTCACACATTTCACTGAACTGTCATCACTGTAAAATTATAGAAATTATTGCATTATTTAACTATTTCTACACTGAGAGTTAAATAAGCCAGAATTTTAATGTAAGGTTCATTTTTGTAAAAGATGGGTGTTGTAAAAGTGACTAGAACCAGAAGTAATGTTCAACGTTCTTACTGTAACACTTTTATTGTGAAAGGAGATGACTATATATGTGATTACACAGTATGTGATCTACACTCTAAGTTAAGATCAAATTAATAGAAGTTATAGCCAAACTCATTAATTCCCAATATGCAGCCTGCCTATAAATGGCTCATAGGCAGTAAACAGACTCAGAGAACATTTATTATATTTTATTTAAGAAAGAAATAATTAGGAAATCATTAATATCATCTAATTAGAGTGCTGAGTGTCTGAAACTTAGAAATGCAGCATTTCACTGGTAAATTCAAGCCTTCTTTTGTTTTATTGATGGCATATCAATGTTGCAATGCTTGTAACAGCAGAAAAGGTATTTGCAGCAACTAACATAAAACTGCTACAGGAAAGCAGCATTTTTAAGTCACAAAATTGCTTACTCAACCACCTTGCTAAAAATTTACTTCACCACCCTAAGTGCTGCAGAGCTAATGAACAAACTAGTTAAGAGTCTAGCATCTCTTGAAAACTCTAATGAAGCTCCAGCTAACTTCTAATTACAATGTCAAATAATTGGTTATGATGCAAGAGGCAGAAAGCAGCTACTGAATCATCAGACCCTGGGCCATGCTTCAATGTAGTGTATCACCTTTGGTTTGTAAAAGAAGAATTTACAATGAAATGTTCACCCCCCGTCACAGTATGACTGTTATGGGAGACTGCAAAGAGCACTAAAGCTCTGAGAAAGGTAGACTGAAATCTTATAAAACCAGTAGACAGCAAGGAAAAAAGGAAAAGAAAGGAAACATCTGGAGGCAGAACATTCCAATGGAATTTAATAACTTTGGTGTAAGATATTCTAAAAAATACTGTTGTTTTTACAATAACAAATGTCAAGTTGTACCACTCATTTACAAGCACTTATTTAATCAACTTCCACAGAAACTAAAATCTGCAGTGTGACAAAAGCCAACTATCTAAACTCATCCTAGTTTTGGTAATGTCACCAATTAAATTACCAGAAAATATTAAGAAAGCTCAACATACTGTTGAAGAAAAACAGAAATATCTGTACAAATGGGTTTTTAAGCATCTTCTGAAGGTGCTGTTTCTAGGCCCTGCAAATACATTTCCGAGCATATAATTTCAGTGTCTCTTTTTAACTCTCCTTTGCAATCCTCTCTCTGTCAGCTGACACAGGCACAATCATAGTCGTGGAAAGATGGCATAGGCATTGCATATCCGTGAATAAAAACTATTTGTCTCAAATACATACAACTTCCCAACATTCGGAAGTACGTGATCAAATGTTGTCTCAACCTCCAATTAATCCATGCACCCCACTTAATCATTAACAGTTAAAAGAAACCAGCATGAAGCAAAACTGAAGACCAAAGCCACAATTCCAAGGGCCTTAAACCAATCCAGCTGCTGTTTCTGTTCCTCCCTGTCTCCCTTCTTACCCCCCCTTGCACCGTTTCTGATGCTTCTGATTCTGGGTGAGCCTCCAATGCATCCTCACAGACAGAAAAATTTTTCATTTTTTAGTCAGGTTACTTATCTGCTTTGTTACCACACTGGAACAAGTCAGCAGGTACCGCAAGAGGAGTACTGACCTGAAGCTGCCATCAGTTCAATCAGCATAAGCTGATAGGAACCATAGCTCTTATTTTGCACCCTTTCCACAGCCCATTTGGGTGATGATGGGTAACTTGCACATCTGTTAGTTCTTCCATTCTACTTGTTTTCCTAAACCCTGTAAGCTTGGGAAAAGGGATCTGCACCTTGTGCTAGTAGCCATTGCTTGCAACTATCAAAATTCAAATAAAACCCAAGGTTTTCAGCAACAGCAAAAACTCCATAATGTTTAGGTATCTATAACATAGAAAACTTGAAACTTTCACCAGTTACCGCTCCCAATCTTTTTTTAAAATTGTTTTCCTAACCTTTTTCACCATTTGCCAATTAGATAAAAAGAAAAAAAAAACAAAACACAAAGGAGAAAAAAAAAAAAACCCAAGCCTGTCCTGAACAAGTCACCATTTTATTCTTATTTCCAATTGCAAATACAGGCCTCTCTATAGTTTTGCAGTTGAAAAATCCAAGTGTTCTAAAATAGGATTGTCTTTTATCAGCTATTTAAAAAAATTTGTGTGACTACAGAATTATGCTTTTTCACTCCAAAACAGCAATTACATTTAAATTTACACCTGTGGAAACATGATGAGGGAGTGCAGATACATGCTATTTTATTCACCTACCCTCTTTATCTTCAGTTCTTGAAAATGAGGCCATGTTTTGAAAAAACCTTTTGGAAATCAAGTCCAAGCAATTCATGTGCTTCAACTGCTTTTTCACAACACCTTAAACACTGATCAGAGGTGCTGATGTATCTCTCTTCAGTACTCCTTCCATACAGTACTCCTTCCATACATTCCCATTCCCTCCCCCATAATTCCAATGCACCTCATTTGATCCTACGATTATCTGCTCTAGCTGAACAAGCAATATGGTAAAAAAATGAATGGTATTCTGACAATTTAGTTCTATGATGTGATTTATTATGGTTTGAACTCGCGTGAAAACATCACCTTTGAGTGGCTTAAATTTATCATAAAGCAGCCACCTAATGCCACCTTCTCCTCCCCTGCTAGCTAGT